CCCCCACCTTTGGAGAAGTGTCTAGTAAGAAGTTGCTGCAGCTGAGGTCAAAGAGGTTGCTGCCCGTGTTCTCCTCTAGGATTTTGATGGATTCCTGTCTCACATTTAGGTCTTTCATCCATTTTGAGTTTATTTTTGTGTATGGTGTAAGAAAATGGTCCAGTTTCAATCTTCAGCATGTGGCTGTCCAATGGAAAACATGCTTTTATAAAGAGATACATAGTCGGGGCGCCTGGGTGGCTCAGTCGTTGGGCGTCTGCCTTCGGCTCAGGTCATGATCCCAGGGTCCTGGGATTGAGCCCCGCATCGGGCTCCCTGCTTGGCGGAGAGCCTGCTTCTCCCTCTCCCTCTGTCTGCCTCTCTGCCTACCTGTGCTCTCTATCTCTCTGTCAAATAAATAAATAAAATCTTTAAAAAAAAGAGAGAGAGAGAGATAGTGACCTATTTAGGGATAAAACATCAGGGTACCTATAATTTTAAAATACCTCAGAAAACAAAATAGATGAAGCACATATAGCAAAACATTAATATATTAAAACATATTTTTTAAAAAGATTTTATTTATTTGTCAGAGAGAGAGAGAGAGAGAGAGAGAGCACAAGCAGGGGGAAAGGCAGGCAGAGGGAGAAGCAGGCTTCCCGCTGAGTAAGGAGCCTGATGCGGGACTCAATCCTAGCACCCTGGGATCATTACCTGAGCCGAAGGCAGATGCTTAACCGACTGAGCCACCCAGGCATCCCAAAACATATATATTTTTTTAAGATTTACTTATTTATTTGAGAGAGGGCACGTGAATTGGGGGGTAGAGGAGGGGCAGGGTGTGAGGGAGAGAGACTCTCAAGCAGACTCTGTGCTGAGTACAGAGCCTAATGTGGGGCTCAATCTCATGACCCTGAGATTATGACCTGAGCAGAAACCAAGAGTGGGATGCTTAATTGACTGAGCCACCCAGTCACCCCAAAACATATTAAATAATAGTAAAATGTTAACAATAACATTATCCAAATAATAACAATTCCTTGTTTGGAAGACTATGAGTTTAAAATTCGAAGCAGAGTTTTAAAAAACTATGCAAGGGGCACCTGGGTGGCACAGTTGGTTAAGCATCTGCCTTTGGCTCAGGTCATGATCTCCAGGTCCTCAGATCAGGCCCCATGTCAGGCTTCCTGCTCAGCAGGGAGTCTGCTTCTCTCTCACTCCCTCTGCTCCACCCCACCATTCATTTCTTTTTGTCTCTAATAAAATCTTTTAAAAAATAAAAATAAAAATAAATAAAACCCTATGCAAAAGTGGCCTAAACTTAGGGAAAAAGGGCTTTGTGGAGTAGGAGGTGGGATGGGGCTAAGAAATAACAACAGTGTTTAGGTATTAGAATAATTCATAAATCATAAAGGTTACTGAAAATTTAATAAAATTTAAGAAGCTCCATAAGGACAGGAACCAAGTCTTTTTACTCAAGGCTGCATCCTCAGCTCTTACTACAATCAATGATTGCTACTGGAAGATGCTCAATGACTATTTATTGGATAAATGAATGAGGGAATGAATAATCATTTCTTCCCCATAAGTGGCCACATATTTGTATTTACACTTTGCTTCCAAAATGGTTTCAAAGAGGTTTAGAATAGTTTTTTTCAGGATTCACAAAACTTTATTCATTTAGAATTAACAAACTCTTTATATAGCACTTAATAGTGCTTCACAAGCTTATAGGACTTGGACTATTTTTGAAGAACTATTTCAATTTGTATGAACTTTACAACTTTGTGTACAGTATGGTATTTTCTCTGAAAGTAAACAATAAGCAGTTTGAATTATCACATGAATTCCAAAACTTTGTTTTTAAAAAATAATTATATGAAATAAAAGCACGGTGATATTTATTGTTTATACAGCTTTTTTTATTAAATAATTTTTTTAAATTTATTTGAGAGAGAGAGAGCATGAGAGAGAGGGAGAGCACAAGCGGGGGGGAGGGGCAGAGGGAGAGGGAGAAGCAGACTCCCCACTGAGCAGGGAGCCTGATGTGGGACTCGATCCCAGGACCCTGGGATCATGACCTGAGCCGAAGACAGATGCTTAACTGACTGAGACACCAGGTGCCCTGTGTAAACAGTATTAATCTGTCAGACCCATTTGCTCTAAAATAATGAGCTGAAATTATATGACATACCACTTGTGAAAGCCAGACACAGTCAACTCTCACTTGTGTGTTTGATAGTGGGAGACCAGGAGTGCACATCAGCACAAACAGCACATAATCTTATGCTACATAGTTTGGATATTTTATAATATATTTTTAAATTTTTTTATTGAAGTATAGTTGACACACAATGTTACATTTGTTTCAGGTCTAAGAGGCTTATAATACCAACCAGATGAAAATTTTAAACTTTAAAAAACAACCAGAGTGAAAAAGATAACCCAAATTCCTATAATTAACTAGTGACTATAACTGAATACTAAATTTTTATTTGAGCTGCCTAGAAGCCAATATAGGAAAGAAAACATATTTTCATTATAAATAAAAGAAGGTAAACATATTTCTGGAGATAAAAAGCTTTTTCAGGTACTGAACTGTATCTGACTTCATAAATTCTTATGAAAAGTAACATGGGGTATCATGGTAGACACTATCTCAGACATTTCAGTTACATAAAAATATTCATCTGAAATTTGGAGATATTAGGAAAATAAAGTTTCCTTTCTTGGTTTTTGTCAACATGAAGATAAACTTAAATCATCAAGGCCAGAACCCAGATACCCAGATAATAGGCATAATATTCTAATGAGCCACTTCATTCATGGCAGCCTTAATTCTCAGGAGTAACTAACTTTAAAATATTCTGTGAGGTGAGTGACAGGGTTAATTTTACTTTAGGTCCTTGGTGAGACCAACAGAATAAAGAATTTAGGTGCTCCTGTCTAGGCCTTTTTCTCTGCTGCCCCCACAATTCCATGGATATTCTTCCATATTTGGTGCTGAGGACTACCTTTTATTTTTCTTTTTGTCCCTTGGAGAATAATCCATCCTTAAATTCTTCAACCATAGTTTCTAAGGGGAAGATTCCCAAATCTGTATATCCAGTTCTGACAACTTCCTAGAAAGGCCATGTTAAATAATATGTCAACCACTATTCTGACTTAGAAGTTCTCACTGTCCCTTAAAATATATCAATGTTTCTAAAAGCAATTCCCCCTTGTAAAACCGGTTACTGCCAATGGCACCATAATTTTCCTGCACTCGATTAAAAATTTTGTAATTATCTTTGATTTCTCACTTTATTCACATCCCTTTCATATCTACTTAGTCCCCATATCCTACCATTTCCCCTTTGAGTCTTTCCATCCTCTCTGCCTTTGCCATCCTTCCTCTCCCTATTTCAAGTCCTTACCACTTCATATCTGGACTGTCACAAAAGCCTCTCTCCTGATCTGCTTCTACCCATACTTTTCCTCTATACTTGCCAAAATAAGCTTAGGTTTTGTTTTAATCCGGTTACAGCCAGGTTCAAAACCCTTCTGTGGTTTCCCAGTATCCTCAGGAAAAAGTCCAAACTCGTCAGGACGAATTTCAAGACTCTGGAAACCTCTCCTCAGGGAACCCACGCAATCTTATCATCCTTTACCTAGTCTCTGTAAAGCTCATTCACTACCACTCTCTGAAGTCCCCTGCTCAGGCCTGCCACTGTTCTCACAGTGGTACCTCAACTGAATCTATTTCCTCTTCTATTCCAGTGAAATCTTAGATACAATTCCAAATTCTACTTACTTTAATTTTACTTCCTCTTTGAAGTCCTCTCCTCTGAGTATAGCCCATACTGGTGTCTCCCTTGATTCAAGAAACACTTTCAAATAGATAAAGCACGACAGGGATACAGATAACACAACTATTCCTGACTCCCTACCAGCACTACTTATTAAGTACTTAAAATATGCTTGACACAATGCTAAACACTTTATACCTACTACCTAATTTGACCTTTACAAAAAAATCTGTGAGGTACTATATCCTTTTACCGAAGAGGACAGTGAGGCTCAGAGAGATTAGGTAACTTTCCTGGAATCAGAGCATAATGGGGCTGCCACCTGTCACTGCAGACTACTGCAGTGAGCTGTGAACTGCACAGGTGTGTTGTTATCCAGAGAAAAGCTGGTGGGTGAAAATCTAGGAGAGTCTGATTCTACAGACTGTGCTCTCAACCATTATATTATACGGCCTCCCCATGGATCCAGCTGGCAAGGAAATGACAATCTGAATTCCAGTTGCTATCACAACCACATTTTTCAAAACCACAAAATGAGATGTACTATTAGCAAGGCAGAAAATTAGAAATTAAGATATCCAAAAAAGCTTAGGATATAAAATATTATGCCTATATCATTTATTAATAAATTTTCTGAGGCTCTTCCTGTTATTACCTGTATATCTAACTTTCCAGAAAGTAGAGTTGAAGTTGGAAACGAAATATCTCCATAAAAACTTGCTGAGCTAAACACTTACTAGGCAGTGTTAAAGGCAACACTAAAAATCAGAACAGTTGATCTTTCCTGTCTTGATTTTTTCACGTTAAGCAAGACTATGTACCTCTTAGCAACTTCATTTCTGTTTTCTTTCCCTAAAAGCATCCACATTTATTTGCCATTCCCCTATCCTAGTTTCCAGTTCCTACCTCCAAACCTTCCTACATTTGAGCCTGCCTGGCAACATTTTGATGTACTTTCCCCAATAAAAGGTCCCACTTGACTGCTGGTTCCTCCTTACCAAATTACTGATACTTCCTTTAGCATCCCATACTTGGTCTGCCCTGTTGTTATAGTTACAGCTTTATTAGTGTGTACTTAACATGTTTTGCAATTCTGCAACTAAAGTGTAAGGTAGTGACCCGAGCTTCAGGATATCAATTACTATTGTACAGGAAAATACTTTTAAAACCTTCATTAAAGAGCACTTAAGATTCACATACATCCTATAATTTGGCTTACTCCGAAGCACTTACGTTATTATTGTGAAGATACTCAATTGCTCGAAGGATCTGGAAGAGGTATTTTCTAAGTCGTTTACTCTCTAGTCCATGACAATAATGTTGTAACTCATCTAATACTGTGTGGTCAATAAATTCAAACACCAAATGAATTTTCTTTTTCTGCCTAAAAACTTCAATCAGATTGACCAGGTTTTCATGATGAAATTGCTATTGACAAAAGAAACAGATTTATAATACATTATTTCATGCACAATAATTTATATATAACACCTAATTTATATATAACACCTATGTTATATATTTATATATAACACCATATAGTTTTTAAAAGCAGAAATATTCTCAGCCTATTTTTTTTAAGATTTTATGTATTTATTTGAGAGAGAGAGAGCGATCAAGAGAGAATGAGCAGGGAGGAGAGGGAGAAGCAGACTCCCTGCTGAGCAGGGGGCCCAATTTGGGGCTCAATCCCAGGACCCTGGGATTATGATCTGAACCTAAGGCAAACGCTTAACCAAATGAGCCACCCAGGTGCCCCTATTCTCAGCCCATTTTACTCCATGCATTTCAATAGAAATTTTTCAACTTATTTGTTTACATTCCTATTTTTTAAAAATGCTAAACTAGGGGTTCCTGGCTGGCTCAGTCAAAAGAGCATGCAACCCTTGATCTTGTGGTCATAAGTTTGAGCCCCATGTTGGGTATAGAGATTACTAAAAAAATAAACTTAAGAAAATGCTAAACTATTTCATAATTAATACATACAGAACAAGGGGAGATAATATACTGCCTTACTTCAAGTTGGCATTTGATTGTTTATTAAAATAATGTAGAGTTAATGTACTATAATCAAATTTGGTACGCTAAGACGTATCTTTTTTTTTTTTTCAAGATTTCTTTATTTGAGAGAGTGTGTACAAATGGGAGGGGCAGAGGGACACAGAGAGAGAGAATCCCAAGAAGGCTCTGTGCAGATGTGGAGCTCGATCTCACAACCCTGAGGATCATGAGCTGAAACCAAGAGTCAGACACTTAACCTACTGCATCATCCAGGTGCCCCTAAGACATATCTTTCTATCCTTTAACTTGGTTTATAATTAAGTCTAACATCTGAAGGGTGCCTGGGTGGCTCAGTCATTAAGCATCTGCCTTCAGCTCAGGTCATGATCCAAGGGCCCTGGGATTGAGCCCCGCATCAGGCTCCCTGCTCAGCTGGAAGCCTGCTTCTCCCTCTCCCACTCCCCCTGCTTGTGTTCCTGCTCTCGCTCTCTCTCTCTTTCTGTCAAATAAATAAATAAAATCTTAAAAAAAAAAAAAGTCTAACATCTGAAATTTAAAATGTTATCTTTTCAAATGAGCATGGATTTCAATGCCACTCAGTACATGATCTGAATTCAAATAAATTATTTTCTTAGTTTGATCCTCAACTCTCGAAAGTGAAACATAAGTTCCAGGTGGACAATATAAATTAATTAATTATACTGGAACAAAAGAGTATCAAAATACGTAGAAACTTTACAGATATGTGAGGTAACAATTTATAATCATAGGAACTTCACAAAAATATACAATTATTTGTGGATACCTTTTTGTTCACTGTCTGTAATATTCTACTAAGTAACAAAAAACCTTTTTAAACTAGTAACAGTCAATGGTAAAATAACTTCAAAAGGTCAAAAATGACTTTATAAGCTTAGAACACAAATGAGGTTCAATATTTTATGCTGCTTACTTTATTTTTTAACACACTGACTTAATTATCACCAATTCTCAAATATTTAACATTTTCAAATTACTAAAAGCACTTATTCCTTTGGCTAAAAAGTGAGAGGTATATTTTCAATGTTAGATTCATTAGAAAATTAAACTTATGAAAAATATTTGTCTTTATTCTAACAGCACAATTATCAATTTTTCTACTTATCTGTACTATCACATAGACCAAAGTCCTTAAAATATGACTAAAAGAAAAATATGCCAGAATATAATGCCAGATTCCTTTCCTACTTTTGCTCCCAATTTCCCTGGTTGGCAAGATGCCAGAGGGCTGCAGTGACACCATGCTAGTGGCAGCAAAAACAATTGATTGCTTTTGGACACTATACTACTAATCCTTCAACTAAGGAAAATTACTGGTTTCCTCTCCAGTCTTAAGGCTAAAGCAATGAAGAGTCAATGTGAGTTAATAAGAATTATGGAAGAACCATCAGGGTAAAGAATCAGGTACTTTCTCAGATTAACCATGAAACTCCTAGAAATGCTCCATTGCCACTGTTCAAGTTTTGACTTTTGTTTTCCTTCATTACCAGACAACTTTTCTACAGATATTGTCACTAATTACTCTAACTGTAATTTATTTAATAAATCTAGCAGATAAAAATTTAATTCAAATGAAGTCATAATGGCAACCTTTTTAGACTAAAAATTTGAATTAATCCAAGAACTCTCTCTTGTTGAATTAGATAAGATCAAACTAAAAATTCTATAAGAAATAAGCCAACGAGGGGTGCCTGGGTGGCTTGGTTGGTTAAGCCTCTGACTCTTGATTTCACCTCAGGTCTTGATCTTAGGCCCAGTGTGGAGCCTACTTAAAAATAAAACAAACAGGGGCACCTGGGTGGCTCAGTCGTTAAGCGTCTGTCTTCGGCTCAGGTCATGATCCCAGGGTCCTGGGATCGAGCCCCGCATCAAGCTCCCTGCTCAGCGGGAAGCCTGCTTCTCCCTCTCCCACTCCCCCTGCTTGTGTTTGCTCTCTCTCTGTCAAATAAATAAATAAAATCTTTTAAAAAAATAAAAAAATAAACAAAAATACTCAAACAAATAAGCCAATGAGAATAAATAGTTAAGGTGTTTCAAAACAGTTTGCATAATAGTTGTAATAGTTAAGTACATTTTCTAATTCTTCTCTGTGTTCTTGCCACATATTGGTTGTTTTTACAAAATGATAACGTAGAGGGGTGCCTGAGTGGCTCAGTTATTGGGCGTCTGCCTTTGGCTCAGGTCATGATCCCAGGATCCTGGGATCAAGGGTTGGGCTCCCTGCTTGGCGGGAAGCCTGCTTCTCCCTCTCCCACTCTCCCTGCTTGTGTTCCCTCTCTCGCTCTCTCTCTCTCTGTCAAATAAATAAATAAAATCTTCGGAAAAAAAAATGATAAAGTAGAAAAAAATAATCAGCTTAAATGTAACAGAATTGAAGAAAGAGCAAAAGATACTGCCTGGGAAAAGATCTCCATCTAATCAGATTTTCACTTACGGTGTACAACAGTTGCCTTACAGTATTACAATGTTTTAGGTCATCAGGAATAGGACTAGCATCTCACAAAATCATAACATCTTTACTGACTTTACCTTTTCTTTCCACTGTCTAGAAAGAGTACTTCAACAATCCACACATATAGATGCTTAATATATTTATTTTATTTAAAAACCAAATTGATCCATCATATCTAATATAGACTTACAAAGAAGAGAATTTCACAGAACTAGAACAAATAATCCTAAAATTTATATAGAATCACAAAAGACCTCAAATAGTCAAAGCGATATTGAGAAAGTAGAATAAAACTGGAAGTACCACAATCCCAGATTTCAAGATATACTACAAAGCTATAGTATCAAAATAGTATGGTACTGACACAAAAATAGACACACAGATCAATAGAACAGGACACAGAGATCAACGGAATACACAGATAAATAGAAGTGGCATAAAAACTTGCCCACAAACCAAAAGAACAGCACACACCTACATGGTCAATTAATTGACAACAAAAAAGGCAAGACAATCAAGAAAAGACAGTCCTTTCAGTAAATAGTATTGGGGAAACTGGACAGCTACATGCAAAAAAATGAAACTGCACCACTTTCTAACACCATACACAAAAATAAACTCAAAATGGATTAAAGACCTAAATATGAGACCTGAAACCATAAAACTCCTAAAAGAAAATATTAGGCAGTTATCTCTTAGAGATCCCCCTTAGCAAATGTTTATGGATCTGTGTCCTCAGACAAGGGAAATAAAAGCAAAAATAAATTATTGGGACTATACCAAAATAAAAAGCTTTTGCACAGCAAAGGAAACCATCAACAAAACAAAAAGGCAACCTACTGAATGGGAGAAGACACTTAAAAATGATGTATAGGATAAGGGTTTAATATCCAACATATATAAAGAACTTACACAACTCGACACTAAAAAAGACAAACAATACTATTTCAAAATGGGCAAAGGACCTGGATAGACATTTTTCCAAAGGAGATATACAGATGGCAAACAAACACATAAAAGATGCTCAACATCACTCATCATCAGGGAAATGCAAATCAAAACCACAATGAGATATCACCTCACACCAATCAGAATGGCTAGTATTAAAAAGACAAGAAAATAACAAGTGTTGGCAAGAATGTGGAGGAAAGGAAACCCTTGTGCACTATTGGGTGAGGGGTGGCTATAAATTGAAGAAGCTGCTATGGAAAATAGTATGGAGGTTGCTCAAAAAATTAGATGTAGCAATACCACATGATCCAGTAATTCCATTACTGGGTATTTGCCCAAAGAAAGTGAAAACACTAATTCAAAAAGATATATGCATCCCTATGTTTACTGCAGTGTTATTTACAATAGCCAAGATACGGAAGCAACCAAAGTATCCATCCATAGACGAATGGATAAAGAAGATATGGTGTATATATACGATGGAATATTACTCAACCATAGATTTTTTTTTTTAAGTAATCTCTACACCCAATGTGGGGCTCAAACTCACAACCCTGAGATCAAGAGCCACATGCTCTACTGACTGAGCCAGTCAGGCGCCCCACCCCCCAAAAATGAGATCTTAATATTTGAGACATGGATGGACCTAGAAGGTATTACACTGAGTGAAATAAGTCAGACAAAGAAAGACAAATACCATATGACTTGACTTATATGTGGAATCCAAAAAACACAAAACAAATGACCAAACAAAAAAATCAAACAGACTCTTAAATACAGAAAACAAACTGGTGGTTGCCAGAGGGGACGAAGGATGAACTAGATAAAAGGGGATTAAGAGGTATAAACTTCCAGGGATAAAACTAAAAAGTCACACAAATGAAAAGTACAGCACAGGGAATATGGTCAATAACATTGTACGGTGACAGATGACAACACTTATCATGGTGAGCATTCAGTAGAGAAATGTCAAATCACTACATTGTACACCTGAAATTAATATAATATTGTATGTTAATTATACTTCAATTGTAAAAAAGAGGTGAATATTACTTTTGTATCAGATAAAAATGAAAGAGTATCTGTTTTCTTCACATAAAACATCTAGACTATGTCAAAGTCATAAAACTTAAAGCATCTAGACAAATTCTAATAAACAAAATATGTAGATTTAAATATTTTTTAAATCACTAGTTTTGTACCCAATCCCCTAGGACCTAGAAGGTTAATGCTCCTTTCTTCACAGTCCTGAGGTCTTTAGCCTGGGTTGACCTGTCATACCTACAAAAAAATTCTAATTTCTGCCCCATTTCTAAAAGCATACTAGTCAGCTTTACTTAAATGTATTCTTGTCACATCAAATTCAACATTTCTAAAACTGAACTAGTTCCCAGACCATTTCTCGTTTGGGTCTTTCATATTTTCATCAGTGAGAACAGTCACTGAACTCCACCAATCCTTTTGTCTCCCTCTTTGTGTTTCCTTCTACATTCTTTCATGTCTTCTTTTGCAATATATTCTATTTTAACTTTGCTTTTCTAACTTTAAATTGCTGCAACTCAGCAAGGGCTCTCATGGTCTTTATCAGATTCTTGAATTAAATTTATAACAGACCTCCCTATTTTTACTCTTACAACCTGTTCTAAAAAATAGTACTAAATTATTATATATAGTTGCTTTATTTTGAATTCAAAACCTTCCACCTCTTACAAAATCACATTTTGTCCTTGTAAGACAAGACTTTAAAACCTAACTCCAGTTTACTTCTCTAATCTCACCTCTTTCTACTTTTGTACAAAAAACTCTACAGACCAATCAATGTCTCTGCTCTCTGTCCTTTGTCCTGCTTGAACATCTCTGAGTTTATGTTGTTCCCTAACCTAGAATACAATAGTTTCTCCCTCCTACCTAAATTCTGCACATCCTTTAAGACCAAATGCATGTCCCATTTCCTCCAAGAAAATTTCTCTACCCAACTGGACTTTGTGTTCATCACTTGGCATTTATCATGAGTCACTTTTTATTCAGTATTGTTTTCAAGTGCCCTCCCATCTTTCTGATTAAACAATAAAAGTCCTTTAGAGCAGATACTGTCTTTTACTATTTCTGAATAAATATTTTATAATATTTGGCATAACTTTTGTTACATTATATATAAGCATATATATTTCCTATCACTATAAAATTTCAAAATGTAGACAATAAGATAGGGTACCACACTTTTTTATTCTACTCTATGTCTTAATACATATGTTAACTAAAAGATTCCCTATATAATTTTTTATTCCATAACAATTCCTCTTTTGACTTACAGCAATTAAGGTAAAAGAAGCAAACCTTTAAAAACTTTATTTCTCTCGTTGCAATTTTGTTGACAGATTTCTCTGGTTTCTCATAAAATATCTTAATGGCCACTATCTGCCCAGTATCCTTATGTTTACACTTCATGACTGTTCCATAACTTCCTTCTCCCACTTTTCCGAGGGTTTCATACATCTCCATTTTCAAGCCCGGATTCTTCTTCATAAAAATAAAGAAAAAAAAGTTAAACATTGGTACTTTTATTTATTCAAGCTGGACAATGCATTTCCACAATAAACTCATATTTTAAAATTCGTAAACACGGAAAATATTAATCTTTTCCACATACGCTTGTTTGTCCTTGGGAACTCTGCCAACTAGGCAGTAGGGTGTCCTTGTGGGGCTCCAGGGCTCACCAGAAATTAGGGAGCTTCCTGCTGTCTCGGTCATTCCTGTGAACACTCAGATTTAAGATTCCCTCACTACATGTCACCAATCCATCAGGAGTGGGGTCCGCACCCGCATACTTCCTATCATACGCCCCTCAACTATGGGGTTCCCGAAATACTGCAGTCGCCCACAGATCAAGCCCCCGGACCCAAGAAAACCTCAGCCCCACCGGTTCCTCAAACCAGACGTCTTAGGGTCCCGGACCAGTGTTGCGCCCCTTGCCCCGCAGTCGACCTCGTCCGGTCAGCCGCAGACGTCTCAGCCCATTTTGCAGTCCCGCCGGCCCGGCTCCGTGCAGAACCGGCGGAACAACTCGAGACCGACCCTAACTTAGCTTGCCAGCCCCGCCAGCTCCAGGCAGCCCACTACCATGGCAACGGTGCCGCTGACCTCGCGCTCGGAGCCTACTGCGCAAGACCGGAACTTCGGCCGGACGCCGCCGCCGCCGCCGCCGCCGCCGCACCGGCCCGACCCGGAAGAGAAAATGAGAAATGGTGAAAACGAGTTCCCGGTGGGTGCTAAGTGAAAGCTTTCTTGGGGTTGGGGTGGGAAGTTTGTGGGTTGAGACCAACTCACAAGGTTGGTTTTGAGCAGAGGTGGGGGAAGATCCACATTTTACTGCACCCAGAGTCTGCATGTCTTTTAGGGAGGGGCAGCAGAGGCCGAGGCTTGCCTGATCTGCGTCTTAGATGCCCCCAAGCCAAAGAACTTCCGCCGCTGGTGCTGGGTCCTAAAAGGATGGCTGGAGTCATTAAATAGAGACATCTTGTAAAACTAGTCTTCCAAGGAAGTCTTGTGTAATTATAGTCGTCTGAGTTACCTAGTTACATTAATATTCCATAGACCTGAGTTCGATCTCAGCTGTCGACATTCATCCTTAAAACGGGGTTAAGAAGGTTCTCAAAATCAAGAATGTTTCTTGAACACCTATATACTTTTTTTTTTTTCGAACTCGTACTACTTCTTTTTAAAGACACCCTATTTGGGAAAACAATTAAAAGGGCTCGGTAGACATACCGACATGGCCTGACATACAAGGGCACAGCAAAGGGGAGGAAAGCCATTAACTAATTGCTTAAGAAGTAGACACGGCGTTCTGCTGGCTTGACAGCCTCCATAAACTAGGAGTTTCCATAACAGTTATACATTGCTAGATAAATGACATAATAGGGTATTTTTTGAAGTTTATCTTTAGCATTTCACTGCATGTGAACCTACCTGTATGTCTTCATCTTTAGCTATACACTGGGGAGAATTAGAATCGCTACGGCAGGAAGGCAAAAATGAGAATATTTAGCATTTAATTTAGAGAATCTCATTTGTGAATGCATCACAGAACCTATCAAGAGTTAGGCTTGGCTAATTTGATCACCAAGGCAGTTATAAAAACAAAAGACAATTCAGGGTTTCAGGAAAAGGAGGTAGCAAGAAAGTGGGGTAAATTAACTCTTTCAGTTTCCATGAAACTATGGGCAACTTGGTTCAATGGTCCCATTTCACCTTGGGCTGAAGAATTACCCAGAAGGATATAAAGCACTCAGAGTCCTCCAGACCATTAAAGCCCCGAGCCCAGGAATCAAAGGCAATGGAAGGAGGGAACTCAAGGAAATGTCAGAATCCCCACGGATTGCATCAACACCTCTGAGCTCCCTGTTGGGCGACATTTCAGGCCCATTTGCACCTTACTTACTGGTGTAGAAAACCTGAAATGAGTTATCCAGGTTAGATACATAACCCCCACGCAAGTCTGCAAAATCTCTTCCCCACATCCGAGTCAGATTTGTAAGCCTTCTTCACAACCAACCACCCTTCTAAACGCTTTGAGATTTCATCTCCATGTACCCCCATCTTAGCCAAATCCATTGACTTTCACACAAATCTTCAAATGAGAGCAGACCTATGTTAAAGTAAGATTCCGTAATTCCACAGAGATAGTCAACAAACCTTAAGACCATCTCTATACCATTCTTTTTTGTCCTTAGAATTTCCAACCCTGGAAACCCCAGCGTAGTGCACATACAGGCTATTTGGTGGCCTTATGGAAGCATTTCAGGGAATTTTACTTAGTGTGGGCCTTAGTATTTCAATGCTGCACTTATTAAAAAACGGAAGTTCCTTCTGACCCACGTACCAGATTTGGTAAGTCATTGTACAAACCAGAAAGGATTTTAAATCTATATTATTTTTGGCTCTGTTTTAAAGAAGCAAATCAAGCTTTTGCTTCTGCCACGATCGCCGACCCTGTTCAAGAAACAAACTGGAGGAAAACTAGTAAAGGACTCTCCCCGCCCTCAGCCCCATAAATTGAATCACTTGCTCTATAGACCTGAGATTCAGGCGACGCTCCCACGTGATCTGTTCTAATATCGTCATAGGGACACGTGGTTCTAGATACTTCGTCCCCTCCCCCTCAGGGGTGGATTGTTGACAACGCCGCCGGCAGTCACGTGATCTTACGTCATCCCACCTCCTTTCCCTGAAATCTGTGGCCCCGGATGAGCCTCTCTGTCCCCACCCGGTCGAGTTTAAACTACTGAAAGGGGGAGACACAGGATGGTGTTTCGGTTTCGGGGTCTCTTAATCCACAATCTCCGACCGAGTACAGAGAACACTAACTTATCGATTAGATTAGGAAGCCAAAATGGATAGAACCCTGCTCAGAAGCTCCCATAACGAGCTCTCATACGCCCCGTGCCCTTCTCCCCCACCCCTCACTCCGTGGTACTGGCGGAGGGCGGAGGGATCTGGAGGCGGCGGAGGGAGACGTCATTGCAGGGTTGTTTGTGCAGCCTCGGCGGCGGCGGTGACCCACAGTGATTCGGCCGCCGCGCCGGGGGGTGGGGGGGCTGCGCGGGACTCTTTTCTTTCAGACTGACCGCGGGGCAGCTGGGGAGCATGTCGACTCCGGCCCGGAGGAGGCTCATGCGGGATTTCAAGCGGTAAGGGCCCTCACCTTCGCCTGGATGACGGCTCCTCATCATAGCTGTGGGCTGCAGGGCGGGGATCCGGGACACCTTCCTCTCATAACCCTAAGAGGGCCGACTGTGGGCCCAGCGGTACCGACGGAAGCCCAGTCCTAGCCCCCGTTCGCATTCCCTCATCCTTGCTTGCTCTTCCGACGTAAGAAATTTCGATACCCCCCTCCCCCAAAAGTAAAAAGATGGCTATGGTTTGTCCTAGGATTCCCCGCTGCCCACTTGGGTCAGCTGCCCGACGTTTGGCCCTAGAGCTCAAGCCTCATCCCTCCGCCCCTGCACCCTGTCATGCCCGGTCCCTGTCCCCCAGAAGCAAACCCTTGCAGAATCTTTTTCCTTGCTTGGTGCACCCGTTTTCCTGGATGGCCCTGCGGTCTTCGCTGAGGGGCAGGGTTGGGGCGAAAAGCGGCCCCCCCTCATTCTTTCTGCAGTGAGGGTGGGGTCTGCAGCGCGAGGTCCGGAGGTTGTTAACCCATCCTCCGAAACCCGACTCTCCCTCGCCCGCCCGAAAGGACCTTGAGAACTGGCTTAGAGACCTGGGACTCGGGCTGGTAGCCCGGGCTGCCAGTGCCTTCTGGAACTAAGCTCTGTGGCCTGGTGTTAAAGCCCTATCTATAGTCTCCAAAGTCTGGAAAAATGCCTTTCTTGAGGCTGGCGCTAACCTGATACTCCCTGGGCCTCCTTTTGTAAAATAGGGTTTTGTTAGGTGGTGTTGGGGTTAGTGAGGAGGAAGTGACTTTTTTTCAGTTGTTTACCTTTGAATACTTGGAGGTACGGGGCAATAAAATGAGAAAACTTAGCATTACGATCCACTGCACATTTTTAAGTGTTTTGTTTTTTTTTTCCTGGGGAGATCTGCCCTAATTGAGACAAAATATCTAGTATAAAAACTTAGGTTAACTGTTCAGGAAGTAACCTTTCAACTTCGCCATTATGAAGCCATAGGTGAAGCATTTGGAAACCATTGTTTTGGGCTTTGGGCGGTTTATCATTGAATGTATTCGTAATGTGGGCGAGAAGCAGCATAATTCTTTAAAGGCTTCTGGTCATCGTGGCTTAATGTGTTTGAGGTTGACTGAAAAGAACTATTTTTATGTAGCCTAATTTCAAAGTATCATATGACAATCACTACATATAGATACCTGTGTATAAAATGTCTCATTTATTTTTCTATTGAAATGACAGTCTTTATAAGGAGATGCTCTATTTGGTGCAAAAGTTGCCTTCTAAAGCTTAAAATCAAATTTCATGTTAGCTCCATTGAGTGAAAGCCAAATAAAACTTCCAGTTCGTGTCCATTGTTACTCTGGTTTCTTACTGCCCCTCTCTGTTAAATTCTGAGTTGAACACATGACACCTTTGGTAGTTTTCCAAGGGTCTTCGGGTTACGAGAATCTGATTGTGACAAATGTTGGAAGGTAGCTTTGTATCGCTTCTCCTGATAGGAGAGGTAGATGTAGCTGTAGCGCAGATCTTTAAAATGGGGACTGATGAAAAAACATAACTGAGGCTTGATTATTTTAAAGCTACTGCTAATTGAAGCAAATGGGATAAAGCTACTCGCCTGCCTAAAACTAGTTTGCTAATTGAATTGAATATCAGTGTTTTCAGTCATTTAGTGTTTGCCTTGAGGGTCCTTTGCCGGGGCGGGGGGCGGGGGTGGCCATGTTACACAGGTAGCTGTGGTTTGGACTCACATAGACCATCTTTGCATTTTTACAGCAGCAAAAAAGATGGTCTCTGAAAATATTTTTTGCACTTGGGGCTTTTAATTTT